CCACTACACTCCAGCCTGGGCAACAGAGCTAGACTCCATCTCAAAAAAAAAAAAATATATATATATATACACACACACACACACACACACACACACTTTTTAAAATACAGATGAGGGAGGCAGTGGGGGTTTCCTTGTGTTGCCCAGGTTGGTTTTGAACTCCTGGCCTCAAACAATCCTCTCGCCTCTGGATATTTAAACTTGTTTCCTCATCCTGAAAATATACCCTCAATTCCCAGGCTGCTTCTCAGAACTTATCTCAAAGGTTTCCTCCTCTCAGAAGCCCTCCCTGGCAGTCCAGGTTGAGTTAGGATCTATTCTAGGATTCCATGGCCTCCTGTGCCACCATCCCAGTCCTGGACTGTCAGTTACTATATGGACTGAGGAACCCCCCACCGAGGGCAGGTACTAAGGATATATCTGTCAACCACCACTTGGTCTGCAGGATCACATAGCACAAGGCTGAACACGTAGCAGGTCCCAGTGAAAGTTTGCTACGTGCTCAGGAATGTGACAGAAAAATAAGGCAGAAAGAAGACACTCCTAGTGTCCTGAAAGCCCTCACCCGTAATGCCCCACCCCTACAATGAGTTTCCCTAAGGGGAGGAGGCAGTTTTCTCCAGGCCACCTCTGGGAAGGGAGGTTTAAGCCTCCTCAGACCAGTTCTTGCCGGTTGGAGTTTGTCAACCAAGTCATCCTGCTGTTTGCAATGTAAGACGAAAGGATTTCACGGGGGGAGGGGATAAAGGGGAGGGGAATAGGTAGGTGGGTGGTGTGGGTTGGAGGTAGGGAGAGAGAAGCGTCTCAGCTCACTCAGGCCTGGGGAAGGTGTCCCTGGGAACAAAAGAACCGGACAGTTGATTCCAAAAAAGGACATAATTAGGAAGGAGCAATTCTTCCGCTTCCTCCTCCAAAACCTGTTCCTCCTATAGGGTCCCCAAATCAGGAAAGCCCTACTGCGTTTGGGTTTTTGTTTTAGAGACGGGGTCCCACTCTGTCGTGGATGCTGGAGTGCGGTGGCGCACCTCGGCTCACTGCAGCCTCAGCCTTCCTCCTGAAGCACTACTGTAACTCTGTCCCCAGGCTACAGCTCTGTGCTTCTTCCTGATGTCTCCCCTCCACCCCTCACCAACTGTCCACACAGGGTCCCAGGCATTCCTCCCACCCTCTCTCTCCTCCCCTCCTTACGGCTCCTCCTCCAACTCCAACTCCCTCTGGGCTATCAGCCTCCATTCCTGTGCCCTTCCTATCCACCTTCACAGAGTAGCCAAAGGAAGCTTCATAAGACACACACCCAACTGTCCCCCTGCCTTACCTCTCTGATGCTCCACTCCTTGCATAAATCCTCAAAATAAAGCACAAACTTTTTTTATTTTTGGAGACAGGGTCTCAATCTGTCCTATAGGCTGGAGTGCAGTGGCCAGGCCTTGACCTCCTGGCCTCAAGCCATCCTCCTGCCTCAGCCTCCTGAGTATCTGGGACTACAAGTACATACCACCATACCCAGCTAAATTTTTAAAAATAACTTTGTAGAGATGGGGTCTTACTATGCTGCCCAACCTGGACTCCTGGCTTCAAGCCATCCTCCCACCTCAGCCTCCTGAATATCTGGGACTACAGGTGCACACGACCCTGCCCAGCTAAGTTATTATTATTACTGAGATGGAGTCTTGCTCTGTCACACGGGCTGGAGTGCAGTGGCGCGATCTCAGCTCACTGCAACCTCCACCTCCCGGGTTCAAGCAGTTCTCCTGCCTCCGCCTCCCAAGTAGCTGGGATTACAGGTGTGCATCACCACACCCGGGTAATTTTTGTATTTTTAGTAGAGACAGGGTTTCACCATGTTGGACAGGCTGGTCTTGAACTCCTGACCTCAAGTGACCCACCCACCTCGGCCTCCCAATGTGCTGGGATTCCAAGCGTGAGCCACCATGCCCAGCCAGACTCAATAAGCTGTTACTGAACAAATGAATGAATGCATACTAAGCAAATCTTACACAGAGGCAGGCAGACACACCAAAATACTCAGACAGAGGCAGAGAGAAGAGTCACAGAGTCGGTTTCTCTAGAATAATTTGAAGCTCTTTGCTCAACATTTATTGTCCCTTTCCTCTGTTCCTCATGTCCCAGAACGCCACCCTCCCAGATGGGGACAGAGTGCTACTGGTACTGGTGGGAGGGGTAGGTGCTGTGGCCGTCGTACTCATCAGTGGTGAGGCAGTGCAGCATGAAGTGGCCCAGGTCATGTTTGGAGATGACCCTCGAGGGCCCTCGTCCATCCAGGGTTACTGTGTACGCCCCAGTTAGCGGCTGGTCTCCTGTGAAGTAAAGACAGAAGGGCTGGGTGAAGCAGTCACCTTTCCCCTCCCCCAAAATTTGACCCCCAGAAAGACCTTCCCAGGGTGTCTACTGTGTGCCCAGCCTGGGTGGTGTCACAGCCAAGAATGGACTTCCGGTATGCAGGTGCTCATCTATATCCTTTGCTTCATTCATTCAAGAAATCCTTATTGATTACCTATTATGTGGCCAGGTGCTGGGCACCCAAGCAAGGGACAAAGCAGACAGGAATCCCCTGCCCTGGCCAGTGGCGGTGGCTCATGCCCATCATCCCGGCACTTTGGGAGGCTGAGACAGGAGGATTACTCAAGCCCAGGAGTTTGAAACTAGCCTGGGCAACACAGGGAGACCTTGAGTCCACTAAAAATACAAAAATCAGCCGGGTGCAGTGGCGTGCCTCTGTAGTCCCAACTACTCAGGAGGCTGAGGCTGGAGAATTGCTTGAGCCAGGGAAGCTGAAGCTGCAGGGAGCCATGATCGTGACACTGCACTCCAGCCTGGGCGACAGAGCAAGACCTTGTCTCTAACAACAACAACAACAACAACAACAAATTATCTGACAGTAACCAACTAAACTTAGGGATAAAATGTACCATCACCCAAGCAGAGACAGGCTGGAATTATGCACAGTATGGAACACACACCCTTGGCTGTGTGTTTGCTTGGGACAAAGCGGACGGGAATCGCCTGCCCTGGCTGGGCACGGTGGCTCACGTCTGTAATCTCAGCACTTTGGGAGGCCAAGGTGGGAGCATCACTTGAGCTCAGGAGTTTGAGACCAGCCAACATGGCCAAACCACATCTCTACAAAAAATGCAAAAATTAGCTGGGTGTGGTAGCTTATGCCTGTAGTCCCAGCTATTTGGGCAACTGAGGCAGGAGAATCACTTGAGCCCAGGAGGCGGAGGTTGCAGTGAGCCAAGATTGTGCCACTGCACTCCAGCCTGGGCAACAGAGGGAGACCCGTCTCAAAAAAAAAAGAAAAAAAAAAAGGAACACACACCCTCACCCCATGCGGCATTCCTGCCCAACATGTTTAATCTGAATCTGTGGCAAAACAGCTAGAAAATTCCAGAATGTGGGCCTTTTAAAGTTACCTGGCCTGGTTAATATTATGAGAAACTTAAAGAAAAAGGGCAGGGTAGGTTGAAAAAAAATTTTCTGTTTTTTTGATACAGAGTCTTGCTCTGTCACCCAGGCTGGAATGCAGTGGCACAATCTCAGCTCACTGCAACCTCTGCCTCCCAGGTTCAAGCAATTCTTGTGCCTCGGTCTCCTGAGTATCTGGGATTACAGGTGTCCGCCACCACACCTGGCTAATTTTTGTATTTTTAGTAGAGACGGGGGTCTCACCATGTTGGCCAGGCTGGTCTGGAACTCCTGACCTCAACTGATCCGCCCACCTTGGCCTCCCAAAGTGCTGGGATTACATATGTGAGCCACTGTGCCGGCCTGACAGTTGAGGAAATTTTACTGTGGAGTGGATACTAAATGATATGACAGTAAATGTCACTTTCCTTAGGTGTGATCATGTTTTGTGTGCAAATATCTTTCTTTTAGGAGATAGCTGTCTAGGTATTTAGGAGTGAAGTGAGACAATGTTGTAATTCCTCTCAAATGATTAAGCCAAATATATATGCATATATTTTTTTCACAATATATTCAGCAAAATCTATCTATATATTCATGGAGAGACAGAGAGGAGGAGAGAGGGAGAGAGAACAGGATAAAAAGCTAAGCACTGAACCTAAACAAAGGGTTTATGTGTATTCACAAACCTTTAATGCGTTCAACTCGGGAGGTTTGAAAGTTTTCACACACTTGGCTGGGTGCAGTGGCTCACACCAGTAATCCCAGCACTTTGGGAGGCCAAGGTGGGCAGATCACAAGGTCAAGAGATCGGGACCAACCTGGCCAACATGGTGAAACCTCGTCTCTACTAAAAATACAAAAATTAGCTGGTCGTGGTGGCGCATGCCTATAGTCCCAGCTATTCTGGGGGCTAAGGCAGGAGAATCACTTGAACCCAGGAGGCAAAAGGTTGCAGTAAGCCAAGATCACGCCACTGCGCTCCAGCCTGGCAATAGAGTGAGACTCTGTCTCCAGAAAAAAAAAAAAAAAAGAAAGCCCAGGCATGGTGGCTCACACCTGTAATCCCAGCACTTTGGGAGGCTGAGGTGGGTGGATCACAAGGTCAAGAAGTTGAGACCATCCTGGCTAACACGGTGAAACCCTGTCTTTATTAAAAAATACAAAAAATTAACCAGGCGTGGTGGCGGGTGCCTGTAGTCCCAGCTACTCTGGAGGCTGAGGCAGGAGAATGGACTACAGGCATTGAGACGGGGTTTCACCGTGTTAGCCAGGATGGTCTTGATCTCCTGACCTCGTGATCCGCCCACCTTGGCCTCCCAAAGTGCTGGGATTACAGGCATGAGCCACCGTGCCCGGCCATTAGTATCTATCTTTTCTTGTCTTTTTCTTTTTTTCGAGACAGGGTCTCACGCTGTTGCCCAGGCTGGAGTGCGGTGGCTCTATCACAGCTCATTGCAGCCTTGATCTCCTGGGCTCAAGCCATCCTCAAGCCACAGCCTCCAAAGAGCTGGGACCACAGGTGCGTGCCACCATGCCCAGCTAATTTTTTTTTTTTTTTTTTTTTTGTGTATTTACATTGTAGAGATAAGTCTATGTTGCTCAGGCTGGTCTCAAACTCCTGGGCTGAAGCAATCCTTCGTCTTGGCTTCCCAAAGTGATGGAATTACAGGTGTGAACCACCATGCTTGGCCTGCATATCTATCTATCTATCTATCTATCTATCTATCTATCTATCTATCTATCTATCTATCTAATCTCCATCTCCCATACTAGAAATGTAAGCTATGGCCGGGCATGGTGATACAGGCATGTAATCCCAGCTACTCAGGAGGCTGAGGCCCCAGAATCCATAGACATAATGGATTAAACCATTAGCCAGTGGTAATCCCCTCAACCTTCAATCCCTCACCACTCCTCAGAAGGGAAAGTCCCAACCCTCTAATCCAGCCTTAGTCTTTCTGGTGACCAGACCTGAAGCTGCCTAGGGGATGCCAGCTCTCAGTGAACTCCTTAACATAGAAAAAGATATTTATCATTTTAGAGATTCCAAGGATTTTAGGAGTTGTATGCCAGGAAACAGGGACAAAGGCCAAATATATATGTCACAATATCATAGGAAGGTTTGCAATTTTAGGGTGATCAGGGAAGTCCTTGCAGATCTCCCCAGAGGGCAGGAGGGAATAGGCAGATGGCATTGGTGCCACCAGGTCCCTGCCTTGCTTACCTATGTGTGGCGGCATCACAGCCACGTACTTCAGGCCCGATTCCTGCAGCACCTTGTGCATCCGGATGTGGTCATCGGTCACGGCCTGCAGTCGTGGGGGCACCTTGGTGGGGTCCCAGAGCAGGAAAGCTGGAGGGAGGACACAGGGCAGGATCAGCCTGGGCTCTCTCTCTCTCTTTTTTTTTGTTTATTTGAGACAGAGTCTTGCTCTGTCACCCAGGCTGAGTGCAGTGGTGCAATCTCGGCTCACTGCAACTTCTGCCTCCTGGGTTCAAGCAATTCGGCCTCAGCCTCCCCAGTAGCTGGGATTACAGGTGCACACCACCAGCCTGGCTAATTTTTGTATTTCTAGTACAGACAGGGTTTCACCATGTTGGCCAGGCTGGTCTCAAACTCCTGACCTCAGGTGATCCGCCCTCCTCCACCTCCCAAAGTGCTGGAATTATAGGCATGAGCCACTGCGCCCGGCCAAGGGCCCACTTGTCTTGATGCCAGGACAAAACCCTGCCATGGCTCACCATTGCCTTCCAGTTGCAAAAACAGGGGAGTCTCTGGGCCTCCTCTTTCCCTCACAGGCCAGGTAAGAGCTGTCTGCTGATCACAGTAATTCCAAATCTGACCTCTTCTCACTCTGCCTGGTCCTGTCTGCTGTTTCCTCTTGCCTGGACCAGCCCAGCAGCCTCCTCCCTGGTCTCTCAGCCCCTCCTTCCCTCCTCCCAAGGAGCCCATGAATACCCCTATCAGTTCACATCCATAGCTCCATCTCACTCAGAGTAGAAGCAAAGTCCTCATGGCCAGCCCTCAAGGCCCCACCTGATATGGCCCCATCAGCTCTCTGACGTCCCTGCCTACCCTGCCTACCACTCTCCCTTACATGCCTCTGCTCCAGCCAGGTTCTGCCTCTCAGCCTTGGCGATGTCTGATCCCTCTGCCTCTGATGCATTTCCCTCTCTTTTTTATTTTCTCGGAGACAGGGTCTCATTCTGTTGTCCAGGCTGGAGGGCAGTGGCGTGAACACAGCTCACTGCAGCCTTGACCTTCTGGGCTGAAGTGATCCTCCTGCCTTAGCCTCCTGAGGATCTGGGACCACAGGAGTGAGCCACCAAACCCCACTTTTTTTTTCTTTGAGACAGAGTTTCCCTCTCATCACCCAGGCTGCAGTGCAATGGCGCCATCCCGGCCAAGCCTGGCTAATTAAAAAAAATTTTTTTAGGCCAGGTGCGGTGGCTCACCCCTGTAATCCCAGCACTTTGGGAGACTGAGGAGGATGGATCGCCTGAGGTTAGGAGTTTGAGACCAGCCTGGCCAACATGGTGAAACCCCGTCTCTACTAAAAATACAAGAATTAGCTGGGCATGGTGGTACATGCCTGTAGTCCTAGCTACTCAGGAGGCTGAGGCTGGAGAATCGCTTGAACCCAGGAGGTGGAGGTTGCAGTGAGCTGAGATCACACCACTGCACTCCAGCTTGGAAGACAGAGCAAGACTCCATCTCAAAAACAAAGCAGAACAAAACAAAAAAACAAAAATTAGCTGGGTGACTTGGTGCATGCCTGTAATCCCAGCTATTTTCAGGAAGCTGAGGCAGGAGAATCCCTTGAACCTGGGAGGCAGCGGTTGCAGTGAGCCGATATCGCGCCATTGCACTCCAGCCTGAGCGACAGAGCAAAACTCCGTCTCTAAAGAAAAAGAAAAAAAAAGTTTTTTTTGTAGTGATGGAGGTCTTACCAAGTTGCCCAGGCTAGTTTTGAACTCCCGGGCTTAAGAGATCCTCCCACCTCGACCTCCTAAAGTGCTGAGATTACGGGTGTGACCCAGGACCCTTTGTCATTTCCCTCTCATAGCCACGTGGCTCCCTGTTTTCTTTGCAGACTTTGCTCAAAGGTCACCTTTCCATGCAGCTTTTCTTGACTGTCCTGCTTAAAATAGCAAAATCCCATCTCCCCCAGCCCAGTTTACCAATTCCTTTTCTTGGGGCCTTGTTTTCTCCCTAGGACCCTTCCCCTGTGGCCACACCCTAGAGTTATTCTGTGACACTTTCTATCACATTTCCTGCTCCAATCCCAGCCCTTAGAAGTATCTGGAACATTGTAGGTACTCACTAAATATTTGTTCAGGAATTAGCTTTCAACAAGCTATAACTTGGCCAAGCTATACCGGCTGACATTTGTAGAACTTTTACCTCAAGCCAAGAACTATGCTAAATACTTTTAGGAGCAGTTTGGTGAATAGTTAAGAGCTTGGGTTCTGCCTAAAGTCAAGTCCTGGATCGACCACTGGCCAGCTTCCTGTTTCCTCAGGTGCAAACTGGGATGATATAAATTGTTCAAAGGCCGGGCACAGTGGCTCACACCTGTAATCCCAGCAGTTTGGGAGGCTGAGGTAGGAGGATCAGTTGAGTCCAGCAGTTCTAGACTCGCCTGGGCAAGATTGGTGAGATCCGTCTCTACAAAAAATTAAAAAATTAGCCAGTCGTGATGATCCACACCTGTGGTCTTCGCTGCTCAGAAGACTGAGGTGAGAGGATCACTTGAGCTCAGGAGTTCGAGGCTGCAGTGAGCTGTGATTGCACGACTGCACTCCAGCCTGGACAACAGAGCAAGACCTTGTCTAGAAAAAAAATAAATAGTTTGAGTAATGTTAGTGGTTATAAAAAGGTGTGTCACAGAGACCAGCCTGGGCAACATAGCCAGACCCTGTCACAACAAAAACATTTTTAAAATTAGATGGGCATGGTGGCACATGCCTGTGGTCTCAGCTACTCACGAGGATCCCTTGAGCCTAGGAGTTGGAGGCTGTAGTAAGTTATGATCACATCATGCTCCCTGCAACCTCCACCTCCAAGTTTCCAGTGATTCTCCTGCCTCAGCCTCCTGAGTAGCTGGGATTACAAGTACGCACCACCATGCCCAGCTGATTTTTGTATTTTTGGTAGAGACGGGGTTTCACCATGTTGGCCAGGCTGGTCTCGAACTCCTGACCTCAAGTGATCCACCCGCCTCAGCCTCCCAAAGTGCTGGGATTACAGGTGTGAGCCACCACACCTGGCCTAGGGTTTCCTCTTTTCAGATGAGAAAACTGCGGTGCAGATTGTGAAGTGGTGGCCCAAGGCCACACAGCAAGGATCTCAGGGCCCTATTCCCCTTCTCCTCATTCCATGTTTTTATCTGCAGCCTCCAGCCTCCAGTTCACAATCTCAAATCCAGTCTCTAACTCACCCTGGGTTTCTTTCTTTTTTGTTTTGTTTTGTTGTGTTTTGAGACAGGGTCTCGCTCTGTAGCCCAGGCTGGAGTGCAGCGGTGCAATCACAGCTCACTGCAACCTCCACCTTCTAGGCTCAAAGGCTCCTCCCACCTAAGCTTCCCAAGTAGTGGGGACCGCAGGTGCGTACCAACGCACCCAGCTAATTTTCTGTATTTTTTTTGGAGAGATGGAGTTTTGCTATGTTGCCCTGACTGGTCCTGTACTCCTGGACTCAAGCAATCCGCCCACCTTGGCCTCTCAAAGTGCTCGGATTACAGGCGTGAACCACTGTGCCTGGCCTTACTCTGGATTTCTTTCTAATCCTCTCAGTTCCCTCCGTAAAAAACAATCCTCCTCAAGCCCTAATGGATAAACTCCAAGCTTCTTAGATGACAAAAATCTTTCTAATCTTTTACCTTGACATTTGAATATGGAGGGAATATTAAACTCTAATAATCAGAGGGTGGAAGATAATTAAAGGGTGACCATTGCACTGTGGTGCTGGAAGAGAAAGGTCCTTTTCTTGGGACTTGCCGAAGGTGTTGGTGGGTGTGCAGCTCCATTTCAAATAGTTTAGGAAGTCCGGGTGCAGTGGCTCACACCGGCAATCCAGCACTTTGGGAGGCCAGATCACTTGAGGTCAGGAGTTCCAGACCAGCCTGGCCAATATGGTGAAACCCCATCTATACTAAAAATACACACACAAAAAATTAACCAGACGTGGTGGCGGGCACCTGTAATCCCAGCTACTCAGGAGGCTGAGGCAGGAGAATCCCTTGAACCCGGGAGGCGGATGTTGCAGTGAGCCGAGATCATGCCACTGTGCTCTAGTCTGGGTAACACAGTGAAACTCCGTCTCAAAGAAAGCAAAAACAAACAAAAAACCCAAATAGTTTAGGAGAACAAAAACAAAAACTATTTGTGTATGTGTATGTGCATAAGCCAATTACAAAACACAATCACAATTTTAAAATCAGGAATATGGCTGTTGGCCAGGTGTAGTGGCTCACGTGTAATCCCAGGACTTTGGGAGGCTGAGGCTGGTGGATCGCTTGAGTCCAGGAGTTTGAAACCAGCCTGGGCAACATGGCGAAACCCTATCTCTACCAAAAATACAAAAATTAGCCAGCCTCATAACCCGGTCTCAAAATAAATAAATAAATAAATAAATCCAAACTTAAAAATTAAAAAAAAAAAAAGGAATACGGTTGTTCACATGACTATTCTTTTAACTTTTCTGTTTATAACTTTTTATAATAAAAAGTTAAAAAGTATATTGAGGACCTACACACTGAAGTAAGCAGCCATGAGGTATGTAAGCTAACTTCAAATGGGTCAGAAAAGAAAACACTGTGTGTCTGTGAACAGAGGGCGGTGGGTATACTGATGTCCTTTCAATTTTTCTGTAAGTTTGAGATCATTTCCAAAGAAGAAGTTAAGCTGGATTCAATGGCTCATACCTGTTGTCCTAGCTATTTGAGGGGCTAAAGTGAGGGGATTCCTTGAGCCCAGGAGTTCAAGGGTACAATGAACTATGATCATGCCACTGCACTCCAGCCTGGGTGACAGAGTGAGATCTTGTCTCAAAAAAAAATTTTTTTTTAATTAAAAAAAAATCCTGGCACACATAAGACTTTAATATTTAGAAAACAATCTAAACAAAAAACAAAAAAAAATTGAAAAAAAGAAAGCATATTCAATCAATTTTACAGGTTCGTCTTTTTCATGGAAGCAAAACTTAACCACTTAAATTGATTCTTAAGACATGGGAGAGGCCGGGCGCGGTGGCTCCAGCCTGTAATCCCAGCACTTTGGGAGGCCGAGACGGGCGGATCACGAGGTTAGGAGATCGAGACCATGCTGGCTAACACGGTGAAACCCCGTCTC